CAATATTAAGTACGGCTAGACTGCCAGTCTAGCCGTACTTATCTTAGGCCCTATTAACATTAGAAAACAGGTTTAAAATACATGCACTGTCATTTAAAAGGCACCTGGTTTCGTCTCAAATACACAAATACTTTAGGTACTGCACACTAAAAATGTATATTTACAATTCAGTAGGCCTATTTTTTGTAAATGGTCAGTCTAGCCATCATATTAAGAATAAGTACGGCTAGACTGCGAGTCTAGCCGTACTTAAGTACACAAAATTGGAAAAAAAAAGGAAGTTGCGTAAAAAACCAGAGGTGTGCTAATCTAGGTGCTTGCTGTAGCTTCTAGACTAGACTAGATCTAGATCTAGATCTAATGTCTTTTTAAAAACTTTTTACACAAATTCTGTTTTTGTTTCCGATTTAATTTGAGTACAATGAATAATGAATCATGTTAGTAGTTAGGCCGGGACCACTTCTCCCGAAGAGAGCCCACTATAGTTTAGAATAAAAACAAAAAACACAGGAAAACTATTATGAATGCAGTTTAAATTAGTGACATGTGACATAGCCTATGCCCCCATTCTACTCTGAGAGAGAACGATGGACCACCACTGCCTCCATAACACTGTGTATGTATAATGTAGCCTAATAATCTGTAATTTACAAGGCAAGTGTAAAAAGATCAAACGCTAGATTTACTAACTAAATCTAGAACAGTGAAGTAAAACTAGAATATCTAGATCTAGATCTAGATCTAGATCTAGTTTTCTTCAAAAAACATCATCTGAAACCTGATGTTAAGGCTACTGTTTACTTCTCGAGTCTCTGTGTGGACGCAGCTTGGCTGAGTACTGGTGGGGGACTGGGTCTCCAGGAGTCCAATGCAAGTGTCAGCCCTTGCTTTTGTTCTCGCTTTCGTTTCACAAAGGGACCGAGTCCGTGAATGTAGAAAATATCTTGGTTTCAGACTAAATCCAAGATGAATTTAAGTTATCAAACCCTGAATGGACGATTATAACCCTATCACGTCTTACCAATGTTGACGCTCTCTTCGCCGAATTGAAGCTTACGCCATTATAAATCTCCAGATTTTTATGAACTAAAGCTAAATTTGCTTCGCTTTTCGAGATTCGTGTCCCGTTCAAACCGCCTACTCTTGATGAAACGTGTTGATATAATTCTTTTCATATACAGAATATTTTTCTGTTGAGACAAAAAATTAGATTTACGAATGAAAAATATAAATCTAGGCTTTAACTCTGAAAACTGAAGTAAAAAATTACATTGAAAATTGCGCAAATTAATTAGGCTGCTCAGTGAAGATGGAGTTTCCCAGAGAAAGCGTTTTACGCTAAAAAGACGCGATTCTGGCATTCGCCAGTCAATTGCTTGGCCTTGTCAACCGAAAACGTTTTAGGTTTATTGGTTGTTGTTTTTGTTTTTTTACTCGGGTTACATTTTTAAAAATCAAACTTCAGATCAATCAGTCAGTATTTTAAAATTAGATAATCAGTTTCGAATAGAGGGCTCAACTGATTTGACCTAATGACCTAATCGAGGTCTCCACTCTATGGGGCCTCGCGTGGGAAGTCATGGCGTCGTGATGAGCGAATATTATGTTTTTGACTTATTTATCTTTAGAAGCGGGTGGGGGCTCTCAAATAGACGTTATTAAATACCCCCACCCCCCAGTATATTAGAGGATGATAAACCCACTAGGTGCTCATACTAGCAAGAGCTACTACCTCGATAAAATAAGATAATATATGATAAGATCAGATATTTCTCCGCAC